AGAATTTCGTGATGCCATTGGCGGCAGGGTCTACCATTAGACAACACATTATGCTTCCAACATCTTCCCAGGCAGTAGCACCTCCCTGTTTGGTAGCTGCTTTCTACCTACTACTTTCACCTCATTTCTTACTCCAATGAAATTTGTCCAGACTTATTTAAAAACTTTTTACAATTGCATTACTTATACCCTTTCAGCTGTATACGTTAAGCTTCTTTGTTTAAAACTACTGTGCATCTGACAATAGTCGATTTACCTTCTCTTAGTTCTACATTAGTCAAAAGGAAGCATGGGTAATAGTGGCTTGTTATCTTCTAGCCAACTATTGAAAATCACTGGATCAACTTTGACACAAAACTTGAATCAAATCACAGGAACCTGCAACCACAATAAACCAACACTCACAATAAAACACATACTGTACTGTCCACACACACCTACACTCACAATAACACACCTACACTCACACAACACACCTACACTCACAATAACACACCTACACCACAATAACACACCTACACTCACAACAACACATCTACATTCACAATAACACACCTACACTCACAACAACACACCCACACTCACAAACACACCTACACTCACAACACACACCTACACTCACAATAACATACTTACACTCACACAACACACCTACACTCACAAAACATACATTCACTCACACACACACCTACACCTCACAACAACACACCTACACTTACAACAACACACCTACACTCACACAACACCTACACTCACAATAACACACCTACACCACAACAACACACCTACACTCACAATAACACACCTACACTCACACACACACCTACACTCACAACAACACACCTACACTCACAACAACACACCTACACTACACACAACATACCTACACCTCACAATAACACACCTACACCACAACAACAAAACCCACACTCACACACACACCTACACTCACAACAACACACCTACACCACACAACACACCTACACTCACAACAACACACCTACACTCACAACAACACACCTACACTCAACAACATACCTACACTCACACAACACACCTACACTCACACAACACACCTACACTCACAATAACACACCTACACCACAACAACACACCTACACTCACTATACCGCCCTTCAGGATTTATTGAACAGTCTCCAAACTGGGCCACCAACAACCATGTCACCATCAACCATACCAAGACAATGGTTATGCACATCAACCTCTCCTCCGACATTGTCCCACCTCCTTCCATTACCCTAGGTCCGAACACACACTCCAGGTTGTAGATTCCACAAGCTCCTCGGCGTCACCATAACAAACTAAATTGAAACCCACGTCAGTGAAGTTGTCAACCTCCAGTTTCCGTCTCCACCTCCTCCGCCGACTCAAGTCCTCGGAGTTCCTGCACCCGAGCTCCTCAGTGTCTACAACAACATTCATACTTCCCAAGCTCACCTATGCCTCCCCCACCTGGTCTTCCTCCCTAAATGCCACACAACGTAAACACCTAGAAAGTGCAAAAGAGGGCATGCAAGATTATTCTTCTCCCTTCCTACTCCACATATCAAGAAGCGCCCAACACACTGACCTTTCGACTCTCACTGACCATCACCACGACCTCATCTGCAAATTTGGTAAGAAGCTTCTACACCATCCCCGACACCGGCCCCTACTACCACCTGAGATCCCCTGTCCGAGAATTGCTGTTCGACACCACAACCGCATCCAGCCCATACGTGCACGAACTGATCGCTATAAGAACAGCCCAGTCCCAACCATTGTAAAAAATTATCAATAACATGTAATAAATCAGTGTATTCACCGTAAACACTGCTCCTACACTGTCACTATGTTGAAATGAACTGTATTTTGAGCTGATCCCCATCTAAGTTACTATATGTCTTATTTGTGTCACTTATGTCACTTGTATATTATTTGTAATTGCAACCCATTCCCCAAATATGTAACTGTATATTCAGCCTTCTTGCCAAGCTCTTTCAATAAACCGTATTATTATTATTATTATTATTATTATACAACACACCTACACTCACAACAACACACCTACACTCACAACAACAACACCTACACTCACACACAACACACCCACACTCAATAACACACCTACACTCACACAATAACACACCCACACTCACAATAACATACCTACACTCACAATAACACACCCACACTCACAACAACACACCTACACTCACACAACACACCCACTCACAACAACACACCTACACCCACAACAACACACACCTACACCACACACACACCCACACTCACAATAACACACCCACACTCACAACAACACACCCACACTCCCAATAACACACCCACACTCACAACAACACACCTACACCTCACAACAACACACCTACACCTCACACAATAACACACCCACACCACAATAACACACCTACACCACAACAACACACCCACACTCACACAACACACCCACACTCACAACAACACACCCACACCACACAACACACCTACACCTCACACACAACACACCTACACACAATAACACACCTACACTCACAACAACACACCTACACTCACAACAACACACCTACACTCACATAACACACCTACACTCACATCACACCTACACTCACACAACACACTACACTCACAATAACACACCTACACTCACACAACACACCTACACTCACACAACACACCTACACTCACAATAACACACCTACACTCACATAACACACCTACACTCACACAACACACCCACACTCACTAACACACCTACACTCACACAACACACAACTCAATAACACACCCACACCCACAACACACCTACCTCACACAACACACCACACTCACAATAACACACCTACACTCACAGTAACACACCCACACTCACAATAACACACCCACACTCACACACACCTACACTCACCAACAACACACCCACACTCACACAACACACCTACACTCACACACCTACACTCACACAACACACCTACACTCAATAACACACTACACCAATAACACACCTACACTCACACAACACACCCACACTCACACACACCCACACCTCACAATAACACACCTACACTCACAATAACACACCTACACTCACAATAACACACCTACACTCACACAACACACACTACACCACAATAACAACCTACACTCACACAACACACCCACACTCACAATAACACACCCACACCACACAACACACACACACACTCACAATAACACACCTACACTCACACAACACACCTACACTCACACAACACACCTACACCTACAACACACCTACACTCACACAACACACCTACACTCCACAATAACACACCTACACTCACACAACACACCTACACTCACACAACACACCTACACTCACAATAACACACATACACTCAACAACACACCACACTCACACAAACACACCCACACCACACACACACCTACACTCACAATAACACACCTACACTCCACAATAACACACCTACCACACAACACACATACACTCACAACACACACTACACTCACAATAACACACCTACACTCACACACACATACACTCACACAACACACCTACACTCACACAACACACCCACACCTCACACAACACACCTACACTCACAATAACACACCCACACTCACACAACACACTACACCACAATAACACACTTACACTCACAACACACACTCACAATAGCACTCCGTACCGACATACCAATACCTACTACTCAACATAGACTAACACAACAATCTCCTTTTGTACCTTTTACGGAATATAGACATACACAGCAACAGCAGGTCTCTGTAACACAGAACACAGCAACAGGTACAACACACTGGCATGGCTCAACACCTACGGTTAGCACTACTAAAGTTTTGATTTTCAGGGCGTAGCTCCAGCAAATCCACAGTGATACACCTGGTGTCAAGCCCCTTCCGACAGGTGCAGAGTCATCAGGCACATCAGAGAGCGCCTTGGTACGACCTCTTCCTCCTCCTCCCTCCCTCCCTCCCCGTGGCTGCCTGCATGTGCATGCCCCCTCGCCCGTTCCTTCCCTCGTTACCCACCCTAACCCTTCATTCATTCCATACCTCCACATCCCTTTCCCTCCTCACACTCTCTCCATCCCCATCTCCTCCCTTCAAAGTCACCTTTTCCTCCATCCTCGCACACTCTCTCCATCCTCATCACCTTCCTCCAATGTCCTCCTCACCATTTCTCTCTCCCGCACCGCTTGGCTTCCTCTGCTTTCTAGACTACCCGAGTTTCTGGCGAAAACGAACACTAATAACACTTTAGAAGTTCTTTTCTTCGGGTTTCTGTTGGTGTAGACCATCTGCTCTCCAAACTTATTCTACTTGGTAACCAGAGCAGAAATAAGCTTTGTGAGTGACGCTGCATGTCTTTACTTTACTCACAAAAACACAATTTTAGTATAAGTGACGTAGTACGTAATGAACTACAGTACGCTAGCTGACGACCTCACACACACACACACACACACACACACCAAAATGCCACCCCGAAGACCGTGTCTTGAAGTGCTCACCAAAAAGAAAACATGAAAACGACCACTTTACGTATGATTTAATTTCTGTTGACTGAAGGTAAACGCTCGTCAATGTATTGGTAAACCTCTTCAAAGGTTGTAAATATATGACTTCAACAAGGACCAGTTTATCACTTCAGCAGACTGTCCCGTTTACCTTGTAATAGTCTCCCCTGACCACAAACTACAACATATGGACACGAACTCTATTACCTCATCTTAATATTCTGGTTATTCTCAAGCTTGCATAATACCTAACCATCTTTGATAACATAATCCTCAAACACAATACAAAAACACGAATGACTACTACCTGTATATTGAGTAGGGAAACGTATAGTATATCGAGATTCAGTTGATAATTATGAATAACATGGAACAGAAGGTTAAGTACACTAGTCCAAGAGGATGACCAAATTGTCTTACCTCTATGTACACCTGGCGTGATACAGAGGTCCTGGCCGAGCTGGCGTCCATGGCGGTGGCTGCATCTGAAACCGATTCCAGAGACCCGTCTGTGAAGCCCTCAGAAGAGGCCTCTCAGGAGTCCTCGATGCCGTGGAAGCTGTGATAGCCTCCATAAAGCCAGTGAGTATACTGTCACACCATCATCATCACCCCTTGAGAAACACACCGTCACCACCACCTCCTTGAGAAACAACCATCATCATCACCACCTCCTTGAGAAACACACCATCATCATCACCACTCTTGAGAAACACACCATCATTATCACCTCATTGAGAAACACACCGTCACCACTACCTCCTTGAGAAACACACCGTCACCACCTCCTTGAGAAACACACCGTCACCACCACCTCCTTGAGAAACACACCATCATCATCACCACCTCCTTGAGAAATACACCGTCACCACCACCTCCTACAGTCCTCTACAGCCGCGATAATTCTCTATTTACTTTAAATAACAAATTGCAGCCATTTCCATTCACCCAAGTCGAAGTCTTTTATTCAAGAAATAACCAGACGCTGAATTTTGTAACCTTGAGTTCTTTAATACGTTGACGAAAAGGTCCATGTATGACGTTGTCTTCCGGTGAGTAATTATTCTTGCAGTTTACTTTTCTCTTTTTTGTTTTTAGCAATCCGAGGCAGAGACACCAACTGGTACTGATTCTAGTAGCCAGGGCGGATACTAGTGCAGGCGCTGAAGGTGATGCCGATGGTGACAGCGAGGGTGATGCAGCTGACACAGGCAATGAAACCACGAGGAACGACCAGGCCAGCGGGACTGCGGAAGTAGGAGGGCCGAAGACCCCCAGCAGCAACACCTCCACCACTACTACTAATTCACCAATCGAAGCGGCAGTCGCTGACGAAGGTGATCAGGAGACCTCTGAAGAACCAGACACGAAGGAACCCGAGGAGAGAGTAAGGAAGAGGAAAGGGAAGGAGGAAATGGGGGGGGAAGAAGAGGTGGAATAAGAAGAGAAGAAAGGTGGTGTAAAGGAGAGTTAAGGAAAGAACGGAGAAGAAATAGATGCGTTGGAGAAAGAGGAGAGTAAGAGAGAAACAAAGAAGGATGCGGTGTTTGAGAGGAAAGTAAAGATGACCGTAAAGATTAAGATACATAGAAGATGAAGGGAGAGAACAATGGTGGGGAGGTACATAGAAGAAAAGAGAGGGTGAAACGGAGAGAGTCGGTATGCAAGAGAAGTAGGACAGGAGGGTGAAAGAAGGAGGAAGGAAGGTGGAAGAAGGAGGGCAAGAAGGAGTAACGTAGCAGGGTAGTGGAGAAGTTATAGCTGTGGACATTAGATTCTGGTCATCTGTGTTGCGGACCAAGTGTTACTTTTGTACTGCAATACAATACATCGTAATTATGTACTCAATACGTTGTTGGTTAGATTTCCTATTAAATTAAACCCACACACTTTAAATGTATTAATATAGATGTAAAACCAATGGAATAAAAAAGCGTATTACATTAAATTTCAACGAATAAACCTACATGTCTGGAAATGAAACTTATTGCCATCTCCTTCACGTCACAGAGAAACCCCTGACCAAGGAGGAGCAAAAGGCTGAGAAATACAACGGCGTCACCGACAAGCTCGTTCACGTAGTGTCGGAGTCCCTGAAGAAGAAGTGGACTCCTGCCCGTCACCCTGACGAAGCGTGAGTCCTCCATATTAGACACTTCTACACATCTGATGTTATTTGACATTTACACTGAGAAAAGTAACCATTTTATACAGGAGTCAGATATCATTATTATTATTATAATTACTGTTATTAGCATTGTTACCACTGCAGTACTATTACCATTACCGCCATCGTCATTAATCATCATAATCATCATCATCATATTTATCACACGAGAGGCAAATACCGTACATTATCTTATCTCCCTCTCCGCCTTCATCCACTAGGGCCCGATAACTCTGGAGGAGGTCGACGTTGAAGCTGAAGCTGAACCTGAACCTGAACCTGAAGTTCACATTCCTCAACCTAATGACAAAGGAGATAAGAGGAGGAAGAACAACAACAACAGAAACAGGAATGCGAATAAAAAACTATGCAAGGATCTGAAGACGATGACGAAGTTGTAGAACACAACAATAAGAGAAAATCAACAGTGGGGAGGTAGAGAAAACTGAGAAACGAAAGAGAAAACAGAAGAACAAGAGGAAAAACAAGAACAATAACGCACAGAAGAAGGAGAAGAAGAAGGAGAAGTAGCTGATGAATCGAACGATAACAACAAGAGGAACAGGAAAAAATAAGAAGGGCAAGAAGCAGCAGAGGAAACACAACAAGAACAAGAGAAAGAAGAACAAGAAGAACAAGACAGATGAGGAGGAGATTGAGAGAAGCCAAGGCTCTGGAGGAGGACCAGGAGACTCAAGAAGAGGTAAAGGAAGCTATTACTGACGGAGGACAGACAAACGTTCTTCTGTTGTATAACTTTTATAAGGTGTTGTACAGTAGGTGAAGCGGACCTCAGTCCCAATAATACCAATCTAACCTAAACATCAAGGTTGGAGCTTATTAGGATTGAGTTCCACTAGATAGAAAGAAGTCCGTTAAAACTGGGACCTATAACGACTTGGGCCCATTAGGAAAAGGGTTTAGTTTCAGTAGTTAGGTTAGGCTGGGGGCTATCTAGGACGGGGCAAATCTAAGCAGCCAATCTTCTAGTCATGTCACTGTACGGTGTATACAAACGCCAGACGCTCTTGATTTCCTTACTGGCACTGTTATCGAAACAAAGTCAAAAATTCAGTCCGCAGTTGACGGTCAGCATTTTCCAGTAAATGCAGGAGAATGCCCCCCAACCCCACACACACATAGTGCCTCTTGATTGTGGACAGTAATTAAGAGATATTGACACGATGTTTCTTGTCTCAGGAGAGTAAGTGACAGTTTCAAACGTGAAACTTCTCTCTCATAAAAAATGTTAGCCAGTCCTTCTCAGACAATCTAAGTTGTAATAATATTAATTTCTCATTTAGCATCTTAGTCGAAATTTATTGAAAGTTATTAGATAAGTCTATATTCAATAACTAAACCAGTTGTACCTAAAACGTGAAAACTAGATGTTTATCATACAAATTTCTTTAAAGATTGTTCTTTTTTCTGACAGAGTGATGCTGAGGTCACTGCGGCGGAAGGTCGGGAAGAACCAACCCAAGAGAAATAATAAAGAGGGTAAAAAGAGGGAAGAACAGGAACAGGAAGAACAAGAATAAGGATAAGAACAACAGCAAGAAAGATAAAAGGAACAGAAACAAAAGAACAGGAAGAATAAGAATGATAACCCAAAGAGTCGCTCGGAAACGATAGAAGCAGAAGGAAGAGAAGAGTAAGTAGTCACGGCCTGTTTGTTGGCGTGTGTTGCTCTACTTCTAAACAATATATATATATATATATATATATATATATATATATATATATATATATATATATATATATATATATATATATATATATATATATATATATATATATATATATCTTGATAAAATCACACGAAAATGGAAACAACGGAGTACCTTAGCTTTCGTCTTTATTGTGGATTTATGAAATATATATATATATATATATATATATATATATATATATATATATATATATATATATATATATATATATATATATATATATATATATATATATATATATATATATATAAAATCAACGACCTCACCAGCAAGGAATCGAACCTCGACCTACTGGTGTGACTAGGGAACGCTTACCGGCTGGATTCGGTAAATGCTACTGACACCACATAAGAGGCACGGGCAGTTTCCCATTGAGGTTCACGGCGCCATCAGCTCATTGAACAGGCTTTGTGTGAAATATAACAGAGTCTAGAACTGCTTTTAGTGTCCTTGTGGCCTAGCCAAGCCTCTAGTCACACCCAGTAGGTCGAGGTTCGATTCCTTGCTGGTGAGGTCGTTGATTATATGTTCAAAGTCCGCGTGTTATATGGACTAAAAAATGAAGTATATATGTACCTCGCGTTTCATACCAGCTGGATTCGGTAAAATGCTACTGACACCACATAAAAGGCACGGGCAGTTTCCCATTGAGGTTCACGGCGCCATCAGCTCGATGAACAGGCTTTGTGTGAAATATAACAGAGTCTAGAACTGCTTTTAGTGTCCTTGTGGCCTAGCCGGTAAGTTCCCTAGTCACACCCAGTAGGTCGAGGGTTCGATTCCTTGCTGGTGAGGTCGTTGATTATATGTTCAAAGTCCGCGTGTTATATGGACTAAAAATGAAGTGTATATATATATATATATATATATATATATATATATATATATATATATATACCTGTATATATATATCTTGATAAAATCACACGGAAAAGGGAAACAACGGAGCACCTTAGCTTTCGTCTTTATTCAAGACATCTTCAGAGGCAACTGGATTACATGGACAGAGAGAGGCTTAAATATAGGTGACCTTAAAAGCATGAGGCCAGGTCATAATGATGTCATCCACTAATCCCCACACCAGTTTTAGTTTATCATTTATACAGGATTAGATTTATAAATTTCTAGGTTCTCCGTCCCTATCCCAGCGTGTGTTTGCGTGTGTACAGTTAACTGCAGAAGCGCAAAAGGTAAGGTATAAGGTATTCGTAACTAGATAATACTGCTACAGCAGTGCTTCACTGTAACTACAAAGACATGAGTAGCAGCATAACGAGTGTTGTGTCCCACAGGTCAGGGCCAATGTTGCCTACCCAGGAGGAAGTACAGGCCAGTAACGCCCGCGTCACAGGTTTCACCAAGCTGTCAAGAAACGGAGACGTCTCGGTAGACCTATCTGGCAAAAACCCAAAGGTAAGTCCTCATCCTCTTGTTGGTTCTTGTATCTCACTGGTATCAAACGGATGATGGATGAGGTCAACAATATGTCCCTCACACCCTGTTTTCTGACCATTATTCCCCACTGCTTCAACATGTGTATCTCAGTGCATCTCAGCTGAAACTCAGCCCCCTTTCCACCTCTCACAAACACGTGTACCTATGCAGCCCCTCCTGACAGCCTCTCCTTTATCTTTCTTCTTCCTTCCATCTTTCCATCAATCCACAACCACCCTCCACCCTTCATGCCTCAACCATCCCCAACACCTCCATTTTGATCCCCACCTCATTTCTGGGGTCGTGACTCATGTATCGTCTCCTGTGTACAGTTCGAGGCAAGCGTCATCGTGGGACCTCTGACCGTACAGTTGGCGAACAACAGTCGAGCCCTCACCAGGTCCGAAGTCTCAGCGAATCTGGAAGCCAAGATCAGCTTCAGAGTCAGGGAGGTGAGTAGCACCCTTTTAGCTGGAGAGATAACACTAGAATGTTACCGCGACCACCAGTGCTGGTGTTAAATTGGTGAGGGTTTGAGGCAGCGCTGTTAAAGTCAGAGGCAGGGTTTTAGGTACCAACTGTTCAACTTAAAGTCACTGGTGTAGTATAAGTCAATGTTAGAGCTTAAGTTAATTTAGAAATCACAATATACTGCAAGTTGGAGTCAGAGTCAAACGTGGAGTCAGATTCAATCAATGTTAAAATTCAGGTCAAATTCGGATCCAAAGTTAAAGTCAGTCAGGTTAAGTTATTTTCAGTTTGAGAGTAAATTTGACGGATAAAATCAGTGTTAAAAAACAAGGTCAGATTTACAATTAAGCCAAATTAATTTTTCTGTTGTTATAATACAATGTGTGTGTGTGTGTGTGTTCACAGTGTGGTGTAATGCGTCTAATGAGGCAGCATTATGTTAGTGTTAAGGTGCAAGCACTGCTTGCTTCCTCTCGCTTTCAGCTATCGCCGCTGGCTAGACCCCGTGGCGAACAGGGAAGCAACTTGCATAAGCTTCCCTGCCAGTAAACAGCCTGTTCACCATCAATACTTCTGCTGTGCCTCCTCGTGGCAACACACGGTAACTGGGTGCCTCGTGGGCCCAGGCTAGACCAGCAGGGGATCTCGAGCAGCAGTGGGCCCCAGAGAGACGGTAAAGGCCCACTGGCATGTGGACACGTATTGGCGACTACCAACCACTGCCCTGCTGCCTTGTGGATTAACCTGGGAGGTACAAGACTACTGTAGCAAACCACAAGCGAAAGATCGGCGGTGGAGCCCCGCAACAGGCAGACATGATTACAGAGCTCCAACAAGACCCCAACGGTGGTGTAGGCGGAAGAGGTGACCAACATAGGAACCCAACGACGACACCGGCAAATGAAGGCAATGCGTGATGGACAGGCTATTAAGGCAAAGCCCAACAAACTGGGCTATAGGCAGTCTCTGCAACTCTTTCCCTTTCAGTCGTTGCAACTGCTTGCACCACTGGATCAGGAAAATGGAGAACCAAGATGTGGTTGCAGCCTGCGCTACCATCTCACCACATAAATCAACTCACGCGCAGCCAGCATCCAGCTCACCATACTTCTCACCAACATCAAAATTCTTATACCCCATAAGTCCTATGGCGACAGACGAATGGCGACGGGAGAGGCAGAGATGACTGCCAGGAGTCTCTAGTCACAACTCTGCACATGGGCGGCACAGAGAAAATGGTCGTTTATGCACTGGGATCTGGCCAGCAGTGCAATCCGGTCCTGTCTGTGCGACTAAGCAGCCCTTTCGAGGAGCCACTCTGCTCATCCCACATGGGGAGGGTGCTAGAAAAGGTGTCCTAAACATAGCCTGCCTAAAGAACTACCCTGACTGGGAAACCGCACCAGTAAGATCATCCTTATGCGGTCGAAAACACAATCATAATCACAGATCAAAGCAAAAACAAACTAAACACCCTCTTATGGACGCTAGACGAATGTCAGGACTTCTGGATACTGGCACAAATGAGTGTCCCAAAAGAAGAACCGCCTTGTGGTAAAAGAGCTGTCTAGGTATAACATCGACATAGCAGCCATTAGTGAGTTCTGGTTCCGAGACGAGGGTCGACTCACAGAACGGGGTCTGGCTATACCTTCTTCTGGAAGGGTAAGCATGCAGCGGAGAGAAACCACATTTACGGAATTGGCTTTGCCATTCGCCAATCCATCCTACATAGGCTAACTGAAATGCCTGTGGATCGACAACCGCGTAATGACGCTCCGAGTCCCACTGAATTACTCATGTCATGCCTTCTTCATCGGTGCATACGCCCCAACACTGGTTGCAGAGGATGACATCAAGGAGAC